ATTAGTGCATGAAATTTCTATCCATAGAGATACTATGGAACATGTGGATTCACTGAAGATTTTTACTTAATTTGATTCTACATTTTCTTTCACATATAGTGCCACTCCCCCCCCCGCACGACCTGTTCTGTCCTTCTGATACATTTTGTACCCCGGAATGATTGTGTCCTATTGATTGCTTTCAGTCCACCAGGTTTCTGTGATGACTATTATAACAATATCCTCCTTTATCACAATGCACTCTAGTTCACCTATCTTATTATTTAGACTTCTAGCATTTGTGTACAAGCACTTTAAAAACGTGTCACCGTTTATTTGTCTGCCCTTTTCTGATGTGTCAGATTCTTTTTTATGTGAATGTTTATCATCTGATCTGGCCCTTACATTATCCTCTTCCATCCTCTGCTCCTGACTAGAACCTGGAGATTCTCTATCATTAGACTCTCCCCTAAGAGAAGTCTCTGTCCGATCCACATGCTCCTCTGCAGCAGTTGGCTTTCCCCCCTCTCCTAGTTTAAAAACTGCTCTACAACCTTTTTGATGTTTAGTGCCAGCAGTTTGGTTCCACTTTGGTTTAGGTGGAGCCCATCTCTCCTGTATAGGCTCCCCCCATCCCAAAAGTTTCCCCAGTTCCTAATGAATGTAAGCCCCTCCTCTCTACACCATCGTCTCATTGAGACTCTGAAGCTCTGCCTGCTTACCTGGCCCTGCGTGTGGAACTGGGAGCATTTCTGAGAATGCCACCATAGAGGTCCTGGATTTTCAGTCTCTTCCCTAGCAGCCTAAATTTGGCTTCCAGGACATCTCTCCTACCCTTCCCTACGTCATTGGTACCTACATGTACCACGACCACCGGCTCCTCCCCAGCACTACGCAAGTCTGTCTAGATGCCCCGAGAGATCCGCAACCTTCGCACCAGGCAGGCAAGTCACCCGGTCATCACAAACCCAGCTATCTACGTTTCTAATGATTGAATCTCCCATTACTAATACCTGCCTTTTCCTAGCAATTGGAGTTCCCTCCAGTTTTTTATTATTTTCTTCTCTGCAGTCTGGACCTTGACTATACCATGTCCAAGAAATTTGGCACTTGACAAAAAACAAATTGACTACCCCCTGCTATACTCAAACACCCATTTTGGGGAGGATACAATGTATTTTTCATACACAACTATGAGGATGAATCCCTGCTTTATGTCTAAAACTCAGCTCAGCCTTAACTATTGGAGGCACAACTGGCATCCCATAATTATTTGGCAACATCCAAGTGTGCTAGGCATTTCACAGAAGAAACAGTAACGTGGGCACTCTGACAATACTGCAGCCTAAATTTAAATGTGACATAAGAAGCGTGACAAACTGAAGGGGAGTCATTGGGTGAAGCACAATCTGTAACCCACTAACACCCAGCTGCTTTTTGCCCCACTCCTCCTTTCCTTCCCTCCCTATGACTGGAAGGGTATTAATTGACCACTCCAGCTTGAATGGTCCCTTGAAATGTGTGTTAACTACTTATTCTAAACAAGCTGTTCAAATATGGTATTTAGCAGAGAAACTGAGGGCTTGTCTACTTTACAAAATTAGGTCAATTTAAGTTAGATCGACCTCCAACCACCACAGCAATTAAATCAGGGGCTGGTGTCCACACTAGCCTCCTTCTGCTGGTACTCCACATCCTCACCAGGATTGTTTGCATCCACTATAGTAGGGCATTGGGGAGCACTGACAACAGCACAGGACTCACAGCTGGAGTCCTCCTGCCCCAGGACTGACAGCCAGAGAAAAGTGAAATAATAGTAGCTCTGAAACTGTGGTGAAATTGAGTCCTGCACTGGGCTGTCAGCCCTAGGGTGGGAGGCAGGGGGAGAAGCTCCTGTTGTGAGCCCCATGCCGGGCTGACAGCTCGAGCCATCAGCACTGGAGGGGGAGGCAGCTGTAAGCCCTGAGCCTGGCAGAGCTTCAGCTGTCAGCCCCACACAAGGCTGACAGTCAGACGACATAAGTAACGCAGTGTCCACATGGAGACTGTGTTGCCCTAACTACATCGACCTAAGCACTATGCCTCTCACGGAGGTGGAATTAAGTTATGTACTGGGCGACTTGTATTGGCAAGAGCACCACTGTAGTGTAGACACTAACAGAGTTTAGGTCAATGTAAGCTGCCTTATGTCGACCTAACTCTATAGTGCAGATTGGGCCCGAGTTAGTTTTCCAGATCTGAAGAAGAGCTTGGGGTAAGCTTGTCCCTCTCACCAACAGAAATTGGTCCAATAAAATATATTACCTCACCCACCTTGATTCTCTATTATCCTGGGACCAACGCGGCTACAACACCACTGCATACAGCAAAACAATGAGTATAGATCTGACAGGTGAAAAGACGTGGGTATAGACAAAAGCAAGTTGTCTTCAGACTGTGGTGAACTCAATTTTACAGTTTTTTGTTTTGTCTTTTTTAATTCTGACCCACAAACATCCTTTGGTTTTTAGTATATTACAAGAAATGGCAAGCAGTATCCACTTTAAACACCTCTTCTCCCATTTACATTTGCCAGCTTAAAAAAAAAAAAAAAAATACAAATATGCAGCATAATCCTAAAGAACATGAAAAAGACAAAGTTACTCCCCTTATGCAGTAACTGTAGTTCTTCAAGATGTGTCCCCCTATGGGCGCTCTACTCTAGGTGCGTTTGTGCTCCATGCACCTCAGATTGGAGATTTTTAGGTAACAGTGTCCATTGGGCCCACACACCCCCTGCAGCCTTGTGCCTTACACTGAGGCTGTATAGAGCTGCATGGGAAACCGCCCTCAGTTCCTTCTCTGCCGTGGAACCAGTTGTAAAGAACTATGAAGCAGAGGGGAGGAGGGCGAGTAGTGGAAAACCCATAGGGGGACATCTTGAAAAACCACAATTATTGCACAGGGTGAGTAACCTTCCCTTCTTCAAGTAGGAACTATGGGTGCTCCACTCTAGGTGACTATTGAGCATTACCCTCTACAGAGGGATGGGGCTTCGGAGTGGAGTCTAGGATCGAAGACAGACCAGTAGAGCCAAATATGGCAACAGAAGCTCAGGCATGAGTGATAGCACAGTGTTCAGCAAACATATGAATGGATGTCCAAGTCATGGCTCTACATATTTCTGCAATGGGAAAGTTCTTAAGAAAAGGCTATTGAAGAAGAGTGAGTAAATACTCTATGGAAGCTGAAGATCATGAGACTGATAGCAGTAGGTAATGCAGCCAGATATCCACCTAGAGAGTCTTTGCTTGGAAATCAGAGATCTCTTAGTTCTCTGCAACGGAGAGAAATAATCTCGGAGATTTCCTACAGGGCTTAGTTCTGTCTAAATCAGGAGGGCATTAGACTTTTACATCAAGTGTATGTAACGTATTTTCTCCTTTACAAAAACCAGCGTGACTTAGGGAAGAAAACTGGAAGGTGGATAGGTTGACATGTGGAAGTCCGAAGATACCTTTGGCAGGACTTGGGATATAGTCACTGTGTGACCTTATTCTTAATGGTTTTTTTTAAATATGGAGATATACCTATCTCATAGAACTAGAAGGGACCTTGAAAGGTCATCAAGACCAGTCCTCTGCCTTCACAGCAGGACCAAGTACCATCCCTGACAGATTTTTGCCCCAGACGCCTAGATGGCCCCCTCAAGGATTGAACTCACAACCCTGGGTTTAGCAGGCCAATGCTCAAACCACTGAGTTATCCCTCCCCCCAGATGACTGTGAAGGAGGTGGGGGTGGGGGGGGGAGAGTGATGCTATTAGACACCCTACCTCACCCACTCTTCAAGAAGTACTAATGGCTACTACAAAAGCAGATTTCATAAACAGGAGTAAAAGAACCAAGACTCATTGTATGAGAAACCTAAGAGAGCAACTTCTGGATGGAAGTCAATCTCTAGTTCTCAGTGGAAGCACATGGGGTGTGTTATTTCTACTCACATAACATCAATCTCTGAAGAAGTATATTTATGGAGAACCCTATGATTCATCCTGATCATCCAGGAAGCAAGAGACATTTGTCTTGTCACCCTCACATCCTAAGGTCTCCTCAAGATAAAGACAGGGTACTGAATAAGATATAACAAGCCCCTACCCTTAAACCAAAACCCACTACAACGGTAGGAGCCCATTTCCCAAGCACATAGCTCAGCAGCGTGAATGTCCTATGGCTTATCCACATTAAAAGTACCTCTTGTCTCTTTGGAACTGCTGTTAAATGAGAAAGGGCAGTCAAGTAACCCACCATAGGATCTGCTGTCTGTGTAACATACAGCCTATAAGCAAAGGACCTAGGAAACAAGAGTCTATTTGAAGGCTCTTAAAAGCCCGGGATGGGGGCACTAAGAGGACTGAGACAAGCAACAGAAAGAGATGCTCCACCATAAGCAAGACTACAGTGTGTGCTTCAGAGAGGCTCTAACACTTCACCTGAGGCATCCAGGCAGTGTGAGAAAGCTTTGGAGAAGGCAACTGATATGAGGCGCATCATCAACAAAAATGTGCCAAAGCCTCACCCATTTACTGAGTTTGAAATTATTATCAAAAGTTAAGAATAAAATAAAAATTGGAACTGCATAAGAGTTTTCATTAGACTCCTTTTACACACCAGGCACAGCGCGATAGAATAATCGGACACAACAAGAGCTGAAAAGCTTCTACCACATCCATAGAAACTGAGGAGAGGCACTTATTGCCTATGGCAAATCTACACAGGCTGATTCATGCTCCTGGCCGGTAAGCATTCTAAAAACTCAAAATTTTGAACTAAATTAAATATGAACTGTCAAATGTCAGAGACAAGATCCACAGAATAAAACCCTGCTGCACAACGTATCTTTGTAGAAAGAAAAAAGTCACTGTTTCAAGTTGGGGGGGGGGGGGAGGTTTTGTAACCCTATACATTTTATGGATTTAAATATCTGACTAACTAATAAAGGGGCTGTAAGCTTGTAATCCTTACCTCTGAAGCAGTAGCGGCAATATTAACATTGCTCAACTGCCCATTCATTAGCTCCATACTGCCCACACCATTGATCTTCTGCCCTACATTTACAGCAGCAGGGTAGTCACTTCATTTCCAAGGCAACAGAGTAATCATTCCTACAAGAAAATGAAAGCAAGTCAGAAATTGTATTCTTATAATAATGCGGCTTGTTGTTTTCATTTCTGCACAGAAAAACTGTTTGGTAAGGAAAAATATTTTAGGACCGTCAAAGCAATAAAATTATTTATATATGAATGCTACTGATACAATAAAGGTTTGTTTTATTTTCAATTTCATGAAATATTAGTGCCCCCTAGTGTTGAGAAACAGATCCTAGCTTAATTTTTACTGGTATCTACATTTGTATTTAATCAGAGTACAGATTAAATACATTTCCTGAATTTGCTAATTATGACTTTTATATTTTAAAGTCAAGTCAGAACTATGGCAGGGCTGCAATTAACTGGAAAACAGACGGTTTAACGTAACTATGAACAATCCGATAGGACTTTAAAATGTTTAATATTAAAACTGCAATAAAAGGCCACAAGACGGACACAAAATAAAGTTAATTCATTCCATGGAATTTTTTCCAAAAACACACTCAAACATGTATAGAAGAGTTTTAAATTACTTGCAGTAATCTTCATTAGTACATCTGACAAATATGTAATCCTAAAGAGCAAGAGATTGCAAGAACAAACATTTAAGTAATTCAACATGCCCAGGAGTAATCTGATAATTAAAAGATCATTGCAGGAAAGAAAAAGAAAAAAAAAAAGAAGGAAGATTTGAAATATAGGCCCACATCCTGAGGCTTTCAAGATCTCTCTGCTCTCCACCAATCCTTGCCTGATCTATGCTGAGCTGGTCCACTGATGCAATTTAGAGCAGCCATGCAACTGCAAGTAGTTTAGATAGCAGCAACCCATCAACAGTGGTTATATGCCAACTCTGTTCACACATATCAGTTGCACGAAAGCAGTCAATGATGTATTTGGATGGTCTCAACTCTGTCCAGTATAAACCCAAACACAGTAGCTACAATCCACAGAGCAATAATGAGGGACAAAAGATATGTTTAATAAACATTTTATCAGCTTTTACAAAAAACTTTAAATACAAAAAAAAACGTTTAGTTTAAATATATTCTTGTTTAGTTTTCCCCTCCAGAGGCTTTACATGAAAAACAAAACAAAACAAAACAAAAAAAGATGGACAAATTAAGCAGCCACTACGCAATTACAACCTGTGAATGTGCTTGTTTTACTACTTGTTGGCACAATAATCCAGTAGCTGCTTTGATGCACCTCTCCCACATTCCTGAATTCTGAAAAGGAAAATAGAGGGGCATTAGTGAAGAGATACAGTCAGGCAATTCCCCAATCCTCATGTCCCCAGATTAATCTCAGATCTCAAATTACCTCCTCATGGTGCTCCAGCACCCAGTGATTTCCCCACTTCCATCGCCTGAAGACTGGTACATCCCTTGGACCCCACTGCATCAGATAAGATGTAAGACAGAAGTGTCTGGGAGCACGTCTTCACTCTGGACATGAACCACTCCTGTTCTCTGAATCCTAGAAGGAACCACGAGAGAAGAAATCTATTAGCTCAGCTTCAAAAAACCCACTCACAACAAAACAGGAAAACAAAATGCAACTTTAAACTTAAAAATGAATTACAGTAATAAACAAGTTCCTTACCTCCTTAACCACCACCATTCAAAAGTAGCAGTGCTCAAAGATGACTCTGACCTCAGGCCAAGAGTTAATCGGTAGTGGGTGCAACAGGAGGCGATAGTTTTCTGCCATAGTATCTGCACGCAGTCATGCAAGGAAGCAGCCCCTGCCTCTCACAACGCATGCATGGATCCACCAGAAGGATAGGACTATTTAAAGCAGCAAGTTTAATGAACTAAAAACAAACAGTTGGACACGTGTTTCAGGGAGCTGTGACTGCAATTGTCGGATAAGGGCTTTCTATTGAAAAATGTGTGATTTCCCTCACACAACTTCAGGGATCATTTGTCTTTTTAAAAAAAGTTATGAGACACAACAAATACAATACTATTCTATAATCAGATAGCTTTTATGCACAAGAGCCAGGAATCAACTAACAAGTTTTCTATTCATGACCTTTGTCCACAAAAGTTTGGGTTTCTAAAAAGCCTCATTTTTTCAGGATCACCCACCAGCCTATTTGATTTCTACATACCTTCTGTTTTCTGATTCTTTGTGAAGGGGGTTAATGTTAAAAAAATGTATTTTACTTTATTGCCTTAGCTATTATTTTTCAATTAAACAAGAACAGACTGAAACCATGATGTAGTATCTTCTAAATAAGCACTAGAGAAAAAACTACTTAAAAACATTCAAGGAAACTTGCTGAGCCCTGGTCTACACTACAACTTGTGTCAGTATAACTACGTTGCTCAGGGGTGTGGAAAATCCACACCCCTGAGCAACATAGTTATAGTGACCTAACCCCCAGCATCGACAGCGCTATGTTAAAGGGAGGGCTTCTCCTGTCAACATAGCTACCACCTCTTGGGGAAGTGTAGTACCTACGCCGATGGGAGCAGCTCTCCTTTTAGCATGGAGTGTCTTCAGTAACCAGTGCAGCTGTGCCACTGCACAGGTGCAGCTGTAAGTGTAGACAAGCTCTGAGTTTTTTATAGCGGACTGTCAGGCCTGCTATAGCTAAGGGCAAGACCAGCTTTCTATTTAAAGCTCAACTCTTCTACATGCTCCCGCACGGTTACTCGGATTGCCTTGAAATTTGGTGTGCCTCAAATGGGCACAGGGTACAGTTAGGGAGCCAAATTTGAGGTATTTTGACCAAGGGGTTCCCAAGATACAGCAATCTGAAAAAACAGTTCTCTTAAGGCTGATGTATTTTTTTGCCCAGACCTAGGGATCAAACCAGTGCTCCAATCCTGTAACAGGGGTCTTAATCGCTCAAGAGTTACCCCCAACTAGTGTCTGCCCCATTGCCCCTTTAGGGGAGCAAAATTCAGAACTGTATTCACCAAAGAATTTAGCTTTCATTTCAGGCACGTGCCTAATGGTCACAAGATACATAGAGCATGCACGCATGCATGAACAGAGGAGCCAAGAGCCCATATTTGGGGGACCTTGACCCTCTGAAGGGGTCTATGCCAGTCTCTCCCTGCCCTATGGGTGAGCTGGCATCTGGGGTTCAAGCTCTGTGGCCCTGCTGCTTGGGGTGGGGAGCTGAGAATAGACATGCTAGGAGCATGCACCAAGAACACACTGCTGAGACTGGAGGAGGTGGTGAGAACAGGTATGATTTAGACACATCACAGGTTTCTCAAAACACTGGGGAAGGGGGATGGAACACCCACTGAGATGAATGGAGCAGTTCACATGTCAGAGCCATTGTTTCAGGCTGTACTCATCTCTAAGGGGTGCTCTCATTAGCTGAGACCATCATACTGAGATGAATGACCCACTTCACACCTCTTAGAGCCTCCTGTATTTCAGGATTATCCTGTGCTGGGAATCAGGATATAGCAAAGCAGTTGCTGATGATTAACTTCATACAATATTAAAGCAGAGAGCTAGCTCTACTACAGCTGAGGTTGACAAGACTTTTCTATTTAAAGAACAATTATTCTAAATGTTCTAGAATCGTGGGGGCATGGAACAGCATTAGTGATCCAAATCATGTGGCCTAGAGGAAAGAACAGCAGACTGGAATTTATGTCTACACTTCGGACCTTACAGCAGCACAGCCATAGATGCCGACTTCCCCGCTTTTCCCTGGGTGCTCGACCCCCTACCCCACCCCTGCCCCCGTTCCACCCCTTCCATGAGGCCCCATCCCTGCCCCACCTCTTCCCACCCTTGCCCCACCCCTAGTCCAACTCCTTCCCCAAATCCCCGCCACGGCCCCGCCTCCTCCCCTGAGCACACCACATTCCCGCTCCTCCCCCCAGAGCTTGTTAACGCCTCCAAACAGCTGTTTCGCGGCAGCTGGGAGATAGGCGGAGGAGCGAGGACGCGGCGTGCTCGGGGCGCGGGGGGAGAAAGGGAGGGCGGGGGAAGGCTGGCTGTCGGTGCTCCAGCCCTGGAGCACCAATGCAGTCGGCGCCTATGAGCACAGCTGCACCGCTGAAAACTCTCCTGTGTAGCTGCTGTATGCCAGCAGAAGAGTTCTCCGGGCGGCATAATTAAACCACCCCCAATGAGCAGCAGTAGCTATACTGGCAGAAAAGCATCTCCCACCGCTATAGCACTGTCCCCACCATAGGGTTCCCATATTTAAAAAATAAAAAAAAAGGACACTCCACAGGGCTCTGGCCCCACCCCAACTCCACCCCTTCCCCGCCCCAATTCCGCCCATTCCCCGCCCCTTCCCCAAAGTTCCCGCCCTAACTCCCCCTCCTCCCTCCCAGCCACACGAAAAGGGCTGCCCGAGCGCTACCGGCTTCACGGTTTGCCAGGCAGCCCACAGACCCTGCAGCCCCAGCCGGCGCTTCCCCAGCGCAGCTGGAGCCCGGGAGGGGAAATGCCCAGCCGGGGACGCAGGGTCTGGAGGCTGCCCGGCAAACCGTGAAGCCGGTAGCGCTCGGGCTTCGGGCAGCCCCCGTGCCTCCGGACCCTGCGCCCCTGGCCGGGCACTTCCCCTCCCAGGCTCCGG